TAATCCACATCACTCCAGTCCATCAGTTAACATCTGGAGAAGACAAAAGCTGCGTGTTTGTAAGAAACAAATCCATCCATCACTTCTGGCCAAAATACCAGTCCATAATCCATAATAACGCTTCCTCAAGTGAATCTCCTGTTGTCCTCTCACATCAAAATTCACTAAAATATTTGTTTAGAGCTGTTTTGGACTGTTTTCATTTGTAAACGGTGCTTGATCTGTGCATATTTCTTTCATGATTCAGACAAGAATTTTTAACTGGAGGAGGCAATATTATGTATTATAGACTTGAAGTTGAAGTTAAAAATGTCTTGATGATGAATTTGCTTCTTATAAACACATACAGTAGCTTTTTGCTTCACAAGACATTAATTGATGGACTGGAGTGGTGTGGATTACTTGTGGATTATTGTGATGTTTTTATCAGCTGTTTGGACGCTCATTCTGACGGCACCCATTCACTGCAGAGCATCCATTGGTGAGAAAGTGATGGAATGCTTCTTCAAATCTGTTCTGAAGAAACAAACTCATCTACATCTTGAATGGCCTCAAGGTGAGGACGTTTTTAGCAAATTTTCGCTTTTGCTTATTCCCTGTTGTTGTCGTTGTTTGTGTAAGACTTATTTCTCCTTTTTTTTTCTTTAAATCAAAGTCAAGTTTTTAAGAGATCCAAATGCAAAATTTGTTAAAAAGCCATTTTCTGTTGTGACGTTAATGAGCTTTGGACGTCTCTTTCTCACCCCAAATTCTCCTCGCATGCTTTGATTTTTTCCAAGATAAAATATGCGGGTGCAGACACGGACACCACCATGGCGTCTCCACCTCACTCGTTCTGCAGACAGATCAGCAGAGAGGAGTTTGAGCAGCAGAGGGTCTCTGGATCTCAAGGAGCCATGGTGGAACTATTGGAGAACATCATACGCCCTTCCAGAGGAGCTGGAGCTTTCGGGCTTGAGTCAGCGCTCGGAGTGCTCAGTCTGACACTAGGGCGACTGTGTTAGGTATTATTATCAAGGAGAGATGTTACTGATTATTAAAGGCTGCATCCTGAATCGAAATGACACTAAATTCACCTCATGAGAGATCAGATGGATTAAATAAAGTTTGATGCTGTGCATTGGAATCCCTTTAAAGCAAGACACTACAGGCAAACACATTTTTTCATGCACTGACCAGTTTTGAGATTTTGCTTTCATTACATGTCTACTTTCAGTATAGTGGAAAGAAAGCATCTAAAATGCACATTTAGGTGTTTATTATATCTATTTGCATCTGTAGATTTAAATTACAGTACATAACTGTAACGGCATGGTTTTTTTCTCCTTTTTTTTTCTAGGTGTTGACAGTATTTTCTGATTTATGGAGTGATAAAATTAGAAATCTAAAATCCCTTCGATTAAAAACCTTTAATAGGTCAAAAAAATGAAATACTTTAATAATACTTCATTTAAACATAACATTTCAGAAATGTAGTTCAGAACATTTGTTTTAATGTATTATGATTAGTGAGGTGATTTCCGATTCACCTGTAGTGTCTTGCTGTAGGAATGGGCCTGAAAATAATAATAAAAAAGATTTATCTATAAAATAACATTTTCTTATAACCAAAAACGCACCCAGAGGGCCTCCATAGTGCTTGTTGATTTTATTTGTTTGATGTAAATAATCTGCACCATTTACAATCAGTTGCGTTCTGTTTTTAAGGAGCTGTTATTGGTTTAGTTTGACCTCCAGCTGCAGGTGTCGTCTAACAGCTGGTAAGTTTTCAGTTCTGCTAAATTATGCTGTCACTGATAATCAGCCAGAGGAAATATGTGCCGCTCACCAGAAAATGGCTTTTGAAAACTCCGAATTTCGATTTAGGTAGATGTCAGTGTCACAGCAACCACTGATGCACTACAGGCTGCGCTATATTTCTGTCTGTCTTTTGTGTTTTTATACTTCAGTGTTCTCTGTTTTCACTGGTTTGAAGGTTTGTATGTGATACTCTTAAGTCCATGTTTCTTTGTATTTGATTTGGTATTAAAGTAGTTCTAGTTTGTCCCGTTTGATCACGTCACGTAGCACTAAAGAAAACCTTCACATTTTATCACTTGACTATTTATAACTGATTGTGATCGACTCTGTCATGGTACTGTAAGTATATCGTTCAAAAGATACTGTTTCAATCTTCACTGATGTTTTCTCTAAACTGGATTCAGCTGGCAGCTTTTACATGTTTTTATGCGTTTTTAAAGTAATGGATTGTAATTTTAATACAATGCTGGATCGAATTCAGTGTCAGTGTCATTCAGTATGACTTTTTCAAAGTTGTGTCCCCAGTGTTTTGATTTTGTACAAATTCTGGAGTTATTGTTACTGATTTGGACGTCTACACTGTGATCACAAATATGGAATTGGAAAAAAATAAATCGATATTGTTACATGATGTTGCAGTTTTTTTTTTTTTCTTCAGCCTGTATACATAGCCTAATATTTCAAGCTGACAGACATGCTAAACATAAACCAATAACTTGAAAGGCAGATACAGGGTTTAAAAAAGGTATTTACGGTCAAATTACGGTCTTAAATTCATATAGTCATGGCATAAAATGTCACATACACTGCAAAAATCTTACAGTATTTTTGTCTCGTTTTTAAATTCAAATATCTGGACATTCTTAAATGAAGATATATTTACTTGAGGTACTTTGTTCTGAGAAACTGAACAAAATGAAGCAAGTTTACGCTTCAAACAAGAACAAATATCTGTCAATGGAATGTGAAAACTTGTTTTCCCTGATTTCTTTTACACATTGGCAGGTATTTGTTCTTGTTTTAATCAAACTCACTTCATTTTGATACATTTCTAAGGAAACAAGATTTCTTACCAGATGTCATTTTGCTTATAAATTCATCTTGATTTAAGAATCTTTAGACATTTGCACTGGAAAAAGAGATAAACAATTTTTCTGTGCATAAAAAAATACTATAGTAATTTATAGTAAATACTATAGTGTTTTTGAACCATACTACAGTGAAGTACTTGAATTAATTTGTTGTGGTAATTCTATAGTTGCTGTGGTAATGTAACATCTATAGTAATATAAACAAATTACTTCACCCAATACTGACCTAAGTTTTCTACAACTATAGGGTATATTATACTACAATACATTACAGTTTACCGTAGTAAAAACTAAAGTATACTACAGTATTTATTACAGTTTATCAGTTCACTATACAGTATGCTGTAGCATTATTAACAAAGTGTCGTAAATACTATAATATATACAGTATAATACACTTTACAATAGTAAGGTTCAAAAACACTATAGTATTTACTATAAATTACTATAGTACTTTTTCATGTGGGGCAGGTAGAGTAAAATATTTCCTTGTTTTAGTGGTCGGGAGCAAAGCTATTCAAGCCTTAAAGGAACACTCCACTATTTTTGAAAATAGGCTCATTTTCCAACTCCCCTAGAGTTAAACAGTTGAGTTTTACCATTTTCGAATCCATTAAAGAGTTTCTATATTTTTCCTATTTAAAACTTGACTCTTCTGTAGTTACATCGTGTACTAAGACCGACGGAAAATGAAAAGTTGCGATTTTCTAGGCCGATATGGCTAGGAACTATACTCTCATTCCGGCGTAATAATCAAGGAACTTTGCTGCCGTACCATGGGTGCAGCAGGCGCAATGATATTATGCAGCGCCTGAAATCAAGTTCCTTGATTATTACACCGCAATGAGAGTACCATATCGGCCTAGAAAATCGCAACTTTTCATTTTCCGTCGGTTTTTAAATAGGAAAAATATCGAAACTCTTTGGTCATTTTTGAGCGAGATGCTAACGGTCTAATCAGATTCAATGATCTATGCTAAGCTACAGCTAAAAGTGCTACCGCCAGACCCAGAGATCGGCTGAATGTATTCGAAAACGGTAAAACTCAACTGTTTAACTCTAGGGGAGTTGGAAAATGAGCCTATTTTCAAAAATAGTGGAGTGTTCCTTTAAGCTATTTTTTGAAAAATTAATTAAAAGGTAATGGAGATTGTTACTTAAAAGTCTGAAGTGTTGCGAATGCAACTCATTGTGTGTTACATATTGACATTTACCATATTGACAAATTGTGTCTTCGGTTTATTTTGTTTACTTGGTCTTAAAAAGTCTTACATTTATCTTTATAAAATCTGCAAAAACCCTGCCGATAAAAAAAAAAAAAGGTTATATTTTGAGGAATATTTATAATGTGTAACGTACATCTCATTTTTAAACAAATGTTAATTTGTTTAATCTTTTTTTTTTTTTTGCACTTACTGTTATAAACCGTATTTTTGTCCTGAGGTGTACTTCAGCTTTCTTACTCAAGAGGTCAGTAGAGAACTAATAATCAATCTCTTAGAAAAACATCATTGAAAACCTGCTGTATTTTCAACACAAACCTTGCATGATGGAAACAGAAAAATCAAATGAATGATAATAATAATAATTTTAAAAGATTAAACTGTTTTCCTTTTCCTCTTTCATTGTTCTTTTTATTATTATCTTTATAAGCATTTTGCATATAAAAAATAATGTTAATGCTTTGGTAATACTATACTCCAATTGTCGTGCCAACAAAACACTTAACTGAACTGAAACAGACACGTTTCAGAAGGTCATTGCAATGACGTGTCCAACATTGTTCACTCTTGTGTGCACAATGGCATATGATCTCGTATGAACCTGCAGCTTCAAACAGGTTAATATTAGTAGACACATCTTTCAAGTCTCCTATAATACACCTCAAACACTCTCATATCCTTCTGCGGTGTGCCATTTATTCAGCAACAAAGAGACTTGCTGCCAAAGACCCTAATAGCTTCTTTCTTCATGTTGTGCACACATCCACAACATGTAAATATGGCCTGAAATGCCGTCGTCAGAAGCATAATGCCTGCTAAATCCACACGCTGCTAATTATGTCTAAAGGAAGATGCAATTGTACTCCAGCTACAAATAAATCAACTGAAACCGGTGGTAATTATGCTCACAAATGAACAATTATCCTTGCGATTTCACAAGCCAGTCGCCTGACATAAACAAAACACACGCATGCGGTGAATTCTCTATAAGATGTGTGTCAGAGTTGAAACAGACCTCGATCGCGCAGAAACGTCCCAGCAGGCCTTGGGCTCCC